TGTCACATGATGTTATTACAACGGTTTATCTAGTACAAGATTTCAATAAAAATACACTCATTTTAGAGCATACAAATGAAAACAGATACCAAACACGTCAAGCCTTAAAGTCGCATGCCCGTCAAACAGCCACAAACTTCGGTATCCTAAATGTTCCATAGCAGACAAATTTAAAAGCCCCTAAAGATCATCCCTTGAAGTGAACAGAGTATAATGACCGTAGAATTGCTCTTACTCTGCCATATGCAACCTGTGTAGCACAATCGACATTTTCATTCATAGCCGCCCCGATGTGTGTTTACGTTTGTTTGTGCACAAATGTGGGGGCTCAGAATGAGCTACGCGGCACAGGTGTAGGGAAAAGCAATTATAAGCGGCTGTGGCATTTCCTTCCCCACAGTACATGTATACCCACTTATAGAGGCACGAAGCCTGGGAAACATGGCGGGGTTGCACATGGGGATGGGGGGGTGGGGTGGACAAATGTTCCCAGGGTGTGTGAAAGCTCTTAATCACTTCTGTTTGAGAGTCGGCTTGTCTGATTTAAGCCTGGTACAAACATTCAGTTTTTGTTTGTTCAACCTAGCGGGCTGAACAAAATCACACAAAACAAAAAAGTTCAAAAGAAAAAAAAAATGAAAAAAAAAAAAAAAAGAAAAGGGATCGGTGTACTAAGCAATGGCAGAACTGTGATCTCTCCGGCTGTGCTGCTGCAAGTGCTGATCTGATGCCAATTTCCCAGCATGTCCCTTCTGACAGAAGTTGGTCTAGGGACCAGCATTTGTCGAAGGACAGCTGTACACATGGTCCGAACCATCATGGGACAAGATCAGCTAGCGCCCAGGGTGAAGATGCCAAAAACTGTGCGCCTTCCCATTCATGGTGTGCACGTTAATGAGATCCTACGCCCAGCAGGCACTCGCTTGTCAAAATCACAGTGCAGCTCAGTTTCAACAATGGGCACATGCGTTTGTTGATGGTTCTCTGCTCCCTGTTCTCTCCTAGACAATTCTGTGCTTGGAGGTGCAGGCTGTGCTTTCTCTCCCCCAACTCCTTCCTGCTAGTACAGCTCCTGTGTATCTGTGAACACCGCCCTCTGCTGGTTAATAGAGGTGCACTGCACTGGCAGGAGGGAAGAGAGGGAGTGAGCACACAGCCAGCACAGCATCCCAGCTCTCTCCTCCTCTGCTCCCAGCACTGAGCTGACAGGAGTAGTGATGACATTGTCACTACTCCTGTCAGCCTTGTAACAGCAGGAAAGTGCCCACATTCCTACAGTAAACCACTGCACCAGGGCAGCTTTCCCATAGGTGGCCTATCGATCAAATGGCTTGTCAACTATAGACTGGCTATCCCTATGAAAAGAGATGGATCAACAAAGAAAACTGATCATTTACCAAAAGCGTGTATGGCCACCATAGATGTCAGTTCGGGTTTGGTACATCTACGTTAGTGATATTTTGTGGATATGGAGAGTTTAGTGCTGAATGCAAAACACTGCATGCAGGAGTTTTTGGTGCGTTTTCAGAAAAGGCACTAAAAACACCCAATCTAATAGAAGCCTATCAGAAAGCATTGGTAACCTGTGCAAAAAACAGCGGCTATACTGCGCCGCACCTGCGCTGTGGACAAACCGCACCAGGGCAGTGCAGAAAATGCCCTAAAAGTGAAGATAAAGTAGAGTTCCCACCAACTTACTAAACCCAATTCCCTCTTCCAGACTATGAATTCAGAAAATCACTGGCGATCTGTATATTAAACCTGGCGATCTGTATATTAAACCTGGCGATCTGTATATTAAACCTGGCGATCTGTATATTAAACCTGGCGATCTGTATATTAAACCTGGCGATCTGTATACTAAACCTGGCGATCTGTATATTAAACCTGGCGATCTGTATATTAAACCTGGCGATCTGTATATTAAACCTGGCGATCTGTATATTAAACCTGGCGATCTGTATATTAAACCTGGCGTGCGTCCTCCATTCCTCTCTCCGGCACAATACCATAGTCATTGATGTGTTGAGAGCTCAGCACGCTGGGCTCCATCTCGGTCATGACTCTGTAGAGGAATGCAAACACACATCAAAGACACCGGTGACATCATTCACAGAGCCCCCGCAGCTCCATTCACCAAGACCCCCACAGCGAACATAACAGATGCCTTAAAAAATACATGACAGTCCTCTTCTGATGGACATACACTAGTAGATTTACGAATGAAAAAAGTCTGATCAGAACATTCGATGACTTGACAAACACCGTACGAAGGGGCTTAAAAAACCTTCACCTTTAGCCCATTCCAGCCTGCCTTGGTCTCCCTTTAAAAAGAATGCCCACGAGGGTGCAGAAAGGATTGATGATCATGTGATCACTGTAATTGGCTGTTGTGCCGGTTCTGCCGGCTACCAACTGTTAGTCCGGACCATCTATGATAGCTCGGGTCTCTGACGGACACTCTGCACAGAAACATTGCCCGCCCAGAGACGCATATGTGCAGCATGTGGGCATTAAAGCCCATTGTTTTGCCACTGCACATATGCATTACACAGGCAGCAACAGGTTGATATTCAATTTTTAGGAGTGAGCCCTGGTTCACACAGATGTGGTGCGGCACATCACATTTGATCCGCACTGCATTCCTGTTCAAATCGCATCCAATGTCTGTGCGGTGCGATTTGAGCCATACATTTAGTATGGCCCAAATCGCATCCGCACCAAGGCGGCGCAGGATCCTTTTTTTTCCCCGCACCCATTCACATCCCATGGGTGTTCACACCCATGCGATGCGAATTCTACTAATAGCATGGCGTTTTGCGATCTGTTTCGGGGTGTCGGTAAATTTAAACATGTAAGTATGTTGTATGCGCTGGTAATAACTATGGAGCAGCTAAGCACACAAGGTAAAAGGTAACGGTCCCCAAAAATATATGTATAGAGAGGTGCAGAGCTAAAAATGCATTAAAAAAGAACTGTATGAACAGAGCGGAACAGTAAAGTGCATCACATAAAGTGCAAATCTGTCAGCAAATCAACTCTATAAACTGAACAGAACAGCAAAGTGCATCTTATACAGGATAATATAATAATAATAATAATATCCATGATGGAACGTGATATATAAGGTGCACTAAAATTGCAAAATTAGGGTAAAATTAAAACGGATAATATATTAATCTCAGTGTTTATACGTGGTAATTGGTGAATCATGAATCCATAAAATGTCAAATAAATGTCCGTAGAACCATAAAGTGCAGCAAAATGAAGGTGCAAAGTGCAAGTGTGCTAGAGATCACACAGGGGAATCCATCACCTCTGTCAGATGTACACTCACCAGAATATAACTGGTAACAGGCAATCAAGCATATCACATTTGGAGATGGGAGGCAGCCAAGGGGTTAAAACGAACTGCTTCGCCTAGAGCACTGGTTGTCCTAAGGGAAATAGCTCACCACAGGAGCCAACAATCGCATATAGTGTAGCATTTATTGGAATGAAATCAAAAGCATACACGTTGAATCAAACAGGTAATAGGTAAAAGGAAATACCAAGATGGCCACCGCTCCGTCCTACGTCAGCAAATGCAGCTCCACCGGACGCGTTTCGTGCGCATGCACGTCTTCAGGGGTACGCCCATTGCCAGCGTAATTTAAGAATTAAAAAAAGAACGCAGAACGTTTGCAATGCGGTGCGGGAAACGCACAGGATTCACTGCGTTTCCCGCACCGCATTAGTGTGAAGCAGGGCTGAATAGACTTTTCCAAACGAAAACCACATTTTTCCCCAGTCAGTGACTTAAAAAGCCAGGCAATTAGCATTTTCAGGTGGAGGTCAGCGATAGCAGCCCCCATATTCCAGGAAGAAAAGATTTACTTTAAGTCCCCTTTATGGTGCATTATGTGTTACTGCAGCATGAAGAATTGCAGCCTTGTCCTATACATTCCTATGGGTCATGTGACTGCAGCATGTGTGTTCACCACTCAGTAATGTATGCAGGTCACATGACCCATGACCCTATATCGCCATCATCTGACCACATGGGACCACTGAATGTTTTTTATGGTATTTGAGTTGCTTAAAATAATAAAGTTTACACATATTAAAAAAAGGGGATATGAATGCTTCTAATGTTCTCACCTTACTAAGATATAACCCCTATTTTAAAGCCAAAATTTAATTTGGTTTTTATTTTGCCTTCCCTAGTTCTGCCTTCCATCAACATGTTACTAACATTTTTAAATACCTGTTTTAACATTACTGGGTCTCTGTACTTATCTATGCAGTTCAAGCAAATCATAATTTAAACATAGCTCCTTGAGAACATCACAGCATGATCTCCGTACACCTCCTAAAATCCCTGATGCAAGCAATGGGCAGGCTACTGGGAGAAGATATTTAAATGTCTTGATGGGTAGGTGTCAGTCTGAAGGAATGGGTGTTCACAGGCAGGCAGAACGCCCACATGTGATGCTGAGCCTCCATGATTGAAAGAACTGAAATCCAATGAACAAAAGGGGAGGGCCAGGGACTGTAAGGCTGGAGAGAAAAGGGCTACATTATGCTGGATGTCCTCTAGCCAGGAAATGAGGCGGGCTCTATTTGACTTGCTTCAGCTTTTAAAGTGTTTGTAAACCCTCAACAATAAAATCAATCTATGTATGCAGTACAGCATGCTTGTTTTATTCACTGTGGAACCTAAGGGGTTAATCTGCCTTGTGTAAAAAAAAGGTTTGACCCGGTCTTCTCTGATTTTGCCCCTTCTACTGTCCCCAATCCATCTGCTGATAGAATAGAGTCTTGGGGGCAAGCTGCACATGCTCAGTTTGGTGTGTATTGCTAGAGAGTTTTTTTTTTTTTCTTGGGAGAGTGCAAGTGATGCGCACAGGGCCAATCAGCACTGTCCAGACAGAGGTTCAGGGGTTATGTAGCCTCATAGAACAGTCAGAGGAGAGTGAAAACTCCTCCTACAAGAATAACCAGTGCTCGGTCGGGCACTGATATAAGTCTAATAATACTGCTATATATTGCTGGTGAGAAAAGGTATTTAGCAGTTTATATTTAGTAATGTAATTGTATTTCCATGTTGTGTGTACTGTGGGAGACCAGATATCGTGAATGCAGGGTGCGGGGAAACCAGATATAGTGAATGCAGGGTCCGGGGAGACCGGGTATAGTGAATGCAGGGTCCGGGGAGACCAGATATCGTGAATGCAGGGTGCGGGGAAACCAGATATAGTGAATGCAGGGTCCGGGGAGACCGGGTATAGTGAATGCAGGGTCCGGGGAGACCGGATAGAGTGAATGCAGGGTCGGGGGGAGACCAGATAGAGTAAATGCAGGGTCGGGGGGGGAGACCGGATAGAGTGAATGCAGGGTCGGGGGGAGACCAGATATAGCAGATGCAGGGTCCAGGGAGACCAGATATAGTAAATGCAGGGCACGGGGAGACCGGATAGAGTGAATGTAGGGTCCTGGGTTTAGTAACACTAATGCACATTGTGAGAAACTCACAGTGTGCAGTGAAATCAGAGTAAGAAATTTCAGCATAGGAGATGAGCCGGTACAACTGTGCAAGACTGATGGGGAGGATTTTAAAATTCTTCAACCTTTTAAATATTTTTTATTTGTATCTTCTGATATTTTTGAATGCAGAGTTTAGAAAAAGAGCCCACATGAAAGCCAATATCTCGCCCTTCCGTTGCCAATAAGCCAACACATGCAATGCAGTCCAATCCATCAACACAACATTGATTCCTGTCCCTGCTCACACAGAACTCTAACTGGAAGCCTATGGCAACATGTGGGAATTGATCACTAGACTTCAGTACAGGCACTTCATTCATACACGCGTGTACACTGTATTATTAATACTGCTATTGCACTGAATGGCTTTGTGGTGTTTGCCGCGCTGTTCCTGGTTCTGCATTGAGCCCGCACTGTCTGTAGTCTTCAAGGTGCACGATATAATTGAAGAGTTTCACATTACAGCGGTGCTAATTAATGGTGCCAAGGTCTTTGCCGCTCGCTGATGTCAGCATTTCATGATCCTTTTCCTGAGTACAGCAGAGCGTGTAGAAAGGGGGAAGAGGCACTGATTATGGCGATGGTGTCGTATTTGAATTAACCCTCCGATTATTCATTCCGATACACACCCGGAATGGAGCACCTGCGGAGGAGGGGGGGGGAATCCCAAGCGAGTACATACCCTGCCACGAAATAAATCTGTGAATCACAAGACTGTATAAGGCCTCATGCACACTGGGTGTTTTAAAAACGCCGGTAGGGTTAGCAGCATAAAGTCACATTAAAAATGCAAGCTTTTGCACATTTTTGCCTTAGCATTTAGCCGTGTTTTCCCAGGTTAGCGATTTTTTATTAAAAGAAAAAAACAAACATACATTTTGGCCAAAAACACTCAAAAATACCGTTTTGCCGCATTTACCTGCATTAGAACATTTTTACAGCTAAAAAAAAAAAAAAAAAACTTTTGAAATGTATTACAAGTTTTCAAATTAAGAATGAAATGTTTCTTCTGCAATAAAATACACACACCAGCTCGCTGTCTTCTGCGGCAAGTAAACGGAATTGCGGATGCACAGGTGATCTTACATCGCCGGCACGGTCCCTCTGTGCCGGTATGACTGACTCCAGGAAACAAGCACTGGACTGATGTCATCCTTTGCCAGCCATAGACCAGTGCCCAGCGAAAGGTTCCGGCGCTGACAAGCAATGGGGCGCCTGAAGGAAAGGGAAGTTCAGGTCCGCTTTAATACAGGGTACACTTTTAACCAGTTGAGTGTGTGGACCTTATGATGGGATATAGGCAACCCTGTTAAAACTACTTACTGTGCTGGGAGCATGCCCAGTAGTGATCAGTAAGCGTCTGATGAATACTTGAGATTTCCGATCATGTGACTACTGTGACAGTCAATCACAATGGTCACATGACCCAAAGATCCACCTCCTAGCTTTTCGAAGCCTTAAAAGGACTGGGAGGCGGTCGGCGCCAAAAGGTTAAACATGGATTTTGCAGAGGATTACAGAAGATACCAGCGGTGGCTGCAAGGAAAGTAAGGAGTGCCTCATTTAGCTGTATGTGTAATCTGAATTTCAGATATTGAGCTCAAATGGTAAGCTAGCAGATCCTTCAAGTCCTGTAAGTCCATAGATTGGGCTATTTTTGTCCAGCACATCCCATAGACATTCGATTGGATTGAGATCTGGAGAATTTGGAGAAGGTCAAGTCAACACCTCAAACTCATTATTGTGTTCCTCAGGTGCATTATCCTGCTGAAAGAGGGAACAGCTATCAGGGAATACGGTTTCCATGAAGGGGTATACTTGGTCACAAACAATGTTTGGGTAGGTGGTATGTGTCGAGTAACATCCATATGAATATCGGGATCCAAGGTTTGCCAGGCGAACATTGCCCAAAGCATCTCACTGCCTCCGCTGGCTTGTCTTCTTCACATATTGTATATCACGATGCCATCTCTTCCCCAGCTAAGTGACGCACACACACTCAGCCATCTGGGTAAAAAGCAACTCCAAAACTGTAGCTCCTGTGGGATGTTCCCAGCCTGGTCTAAGGATGGAAAACCAACTAACCGGCCATAGGGACATGGGAAGCCAAGGCTCACTGATGCCTGTGAGCAGTGAAGGCTGGTCCATGTAGTCTGATCCAATAGAAGAGCTACTGTAGCTCACATTGCTGGAATGTTTAATGCTGGTTCTGATAGAAAGGTGTCAGAACACAAAGCTCATCGCAGTTTGTTGTGTATGGAGTTGCGTAGCCACATACCAGTCTGGGTGCCCATGCTAACCCGTGTCCACAATCAAAAGTGCCTACAATAGGCACATTAGCTTCAGAACTGACCATGGAGCAATGGAAGAAGGTGGCATGATCTGATGAATCACCTTTTCATTTACATCATGTGGATAGCTGGGTACGTGTGCATCACTTACCTGGAAAATAGATGACACCAAGATGGGGAAGTCCGATCCATGAACGCCCCACCTCGCAACTTGCAGGACTTAAGGAACCTGTTCTTCATGGCTTGGTGCCAGATACCACAACAAAATATCAGAGGTCTAGTGGAGTCCATGCCTCAACTGGTCAGGGTTGTTTTGGCAGCAAGTGGGGGACCTACTCAATATTAGGTGTGTGGTCATAAATGTTACGGCTGATCAGCGTATTTGTGGTACTTTATATATAATTGACTGAAGCTTTCGAAAACATTCAGTTCAGAATTGAGAAAAAAAAAAACAGGGAAGATGAGGATAGGATATGACAATGCTAGAAGTGTCCTAGGGGGGCAATATATACTGGGAAACCTCAAAATATTACATTTTTGTTCTTGAATGTAAAGGAGCTTTAAATACAAAAATATACACGTTTGACAGGAATCTAGGCATGACTCTGGAGACACGGGGACTGGTGTATCTAGGAAGTGACCTGCAGATGGTTATCTTGGATGGTCTCCATGGACAGCCGAGTTTGTGGTTACTCTGTGATTTTGACCCGAGTCATGGAGAGGTGCTGCAGGTTTATTTACAGCAAAATTCTAGAAAACCAGCACATGAATTTAAGCCGGGTGTCAGCAGTCATGCGAGTCACAGCAGGGGCAGTCATTGTCCACACAGGATCTTTCTGGCCATGACTTTATCTGCTGTTTGTTTCCCTATATTGTCCTGTTTGCACACACACTGCAGGTGTTTACACTGCTGCCTTCTGCACGTGGATCTGTCCCGAGGGCCAATAACATGGCAAGACTTAACAGCCTGTAAGCCATCCATAGCTAGCATGCCAAACCCTGTGCTGAACACAGAAGGATCGTTCTGGAAAGATCCCAGTAGATATAACGAGGACTGTACATAACAAAAAATATATATTAAACTGCATAGACAGGGTGCCCCAAAAATCTAGATCCATGTCGAAAAACATACAGAAAAAGGTTTTACTACAGAAAATGCTCAAATTTTCTGCCTCTGACTTTGTGATACTTGTGTATAAGTTGAACAATATGAACAATGGACATTTCATGTAACAGAACCAATGTTAACATGGGATGTGTCCCTATTTTATTGCAACCATTGTTCAAAGCCAATTCAACTAGACCAGCCTTTTTCAACCGGTGTGCCTTCAGGTTTCTTTAGTGCCTAAAAATTGCAAAAATGTGTATACAAGCCAACAGGTGGATAAAGCTTCCCCTTTAGTTAAATGTTGTACAAAGCCACGGGTTTTCATTGAGCACCATTACAACTTTCTAGCTGCCAGCATCCTTACTATCAAGGACATTATTGGTTGAGGACGACGATGTTGGGGCGCCTACACAGCATCCTTGTTTGTCCCTTCCCTGCCCACATTGGGGTCAGATTATCTCAGTGGTGGAGAGAAACACTGGAATACTAGTCAGTAGCAAATAAATAAAGTACCGGTAGATGTATAAACAACCTCTAATGCTGGGGATCCATCATGTGTGGATGTGTAAAAATATTAGTTTGGTTTTTGCATTATAGAATGAGGTGCCTTGATTGTGCGCATTTTAAAGGGTTCCTTGGCCGAAAAAAAGGTTGTGGCATTAGGTCTGGAGACCTAGAAGGCCATTTTACTGGATCTCACCTTCTGACCCAGCTGTTTTGAAAGGTTAAATTTAAAACTTTTGCCACAGCAATACAACTGTGTGGTGGAAAACCCACATTTAATGTTGTTCCAACAAAGCAATGTCATCTGAGAGACAAGAGAAGATCTTCAAGTGGTTGGTGAAGGCAGAAGGTTTTTTATGCATGAAGATAAAACTATCAATGTGCAGCAGCCCCCATAATACTTAACTGAGCCCCATTTTGCTCCAGTGATGTGCGCAAAAGCTTTGGCTCTCCTGGGTCTCTCCCTCCTCATTGGTTAAGGAAGCAGCGGTAGCCAATGGCTCTTGCTACTGTCAATCATAGCCAGTGAGGAAAGAGCAGGGGGCAAGGCTGAGTCACTTTGTGTTTGAATTTACACACACAGCAGTGGTTCGGAGAGCGAGCCTGCTCGGGTGCCCTCACAGCTTGCTATGGGGGCATTAGGCAGAAGGGAGGGGTCAGGAGCACCAGCGGGAGACCTGAAAAGAGGAGGATAGGGGCTGTATTGTTAAGTGGTTTTTGCAGGTAAGTACGACATGTTAATTATTTTTAAAGAAAAAAAAAATCTGCCTTTAATATCACTTTAAAGCAGATCTTTGGTTTCAAAAACACAACTTGCCTCCTCTCCACCAATCCTCCCCTCCTCTTCATGCAGAACATGCTTTTTTTATTTCTCTCTTGAGAAAACTTTAGGCCTGCCCCCCCCAATGCACGTCATTCACCTAGGCAAAATACTTGCATTATGCCCACTGTTCCTCCCAGGATATGCACATCACATATCCCAGGAGGCCTAGTCCTTCATTAAGAAAGGAGGAGGGGGCAGGCTTATAATAAGGAGGCAAGGGGCCAAGCAGGGGCAGAATTCTGAAAGGATTCTGCAGAACACAGCTAGATCTGCTCGGTGGGTA